TGATCTTTGCAATTACTTGCTATGCATCAGAGGGTTGTTTAAGGACTAAGGACAATAGAAAAATTGATGCCTTTGAGCTGTGGTGCTGGAGAAAAGTCTTGAATATACACCATGGACTGCTAAGACAACAAACAGATCCATCCTGGGGAAGGTGAAACCAGCCTGCTCCTCTAAGGTAAGAATTTTGAAGACCCATCTGACATGCTTTCAACATCATGCATGTAGAGCCCAGTCCTTGGAGAGGAACATCATGATTTGAAAGGTGGAGGGACAGTGCAGGTGAGAAAGACCTTGGATGAGATGGATTGATACAGTGAGTGGGATTATGAGGGTAGGTGCGTCAAGGGCAAGGTTGGCTCAAGATAGAGCAGAGTTCGGAGCTGTTGTATGTAGAGTTGTTATGAGTTGCAAACTATTCAATGGCAAATAAGAACGACAGCAACACAGTACAGTCATGCACACCATTGTCTTGGGTATTCTATATAACATGTTGATTTCTTAGTATATTTATTCTGCTAGTTTTAGAAACTGAAAATCATTTTTATTTAGGAGTAAGTAGCAAAAATTTACTTTTTGTTGTTGTTTGGCAAATGGTTTAGGACAAGTGAATAACTAAATGATTATTGTTATTTTTTTTTAAAAGGCAAGCAAAAGTCCTTACTAAAAGCAACTTAGATTTTATATATATGTGTGTGTGTACATATATGTAGATATATGTATGTATATATATAGGTATGTGTATAGATATAGTATATATGTGTATATAGATATATGTATGTATATGTATATATAGTATATTTCTGTGTGTGTATATATACATATATATATATAGAGAGAGAGAGAGTATATGTATGTATTGTTGTTGTTTGGTGCCGTCGAGTCGTAGGTGACTCATAGCAACTGTATGAACGAAAGGCCTGAGCACTGTTCGTACATAGAGTTTCTGGAGGCAAGTGGATGCCGCTCCTGCTTCCAGGCATATATATATATAGAATATATATATATATTCCATATATATATATGTGTGTGTGTATACATACACATACATATATATGAAAAATAAAGTGTCAATGAAAAATATCTCATTCACACACACAAATATCAAAAGTTACAGGATCTTTATTACATATAAAGCTACATTACATTAATGACATACTAAAAATTAATTTCAGAGCCTTGTTTGTATAAATGAATGTTTACAAGCTGTGCGTTAAAAAAAGCTCTGCTGGAGCTGTGGTGAAACCATTAGATTGTTAACCTAGAGGGCAACTGTTAGGTTCTCCAGCTGCACTATAGGAAAAAAGAGGACCCACTTGTTCCTATGAAGACTGAAAACCTACAGCAAGTTCTATTCTGTGTTGCAGGGTTGTTCGGAATCACAGTCAACCAGACAGCAGCATTTGTCTTTCTTTTTGGTTCATGATAGTCAATGTTTTAGTCATATATTAATTCATTCACCACATATTAAATGATTTCCAAGCACGTGGCAGGCATAAGAAATGGAAACAGTGTCCATGAATTAAGAGATCTTTGGTGAATGAATGAGAGATCAGTGTGCAAGCACAAACAAGGAGGAATGCACGGTCTAGTTGCTTCAGCATAGAATAAAGGACAGGAACCTATGAGACCTCACAGGACTAAAGAAGAAAATAACACCATAACAGGACTAGTGAAAGAGATCTGGTGGCACATCCCCCACGTGTTGTGCTGCCAACAAAAGGCTGCAAATCTTTAATTATCTCTCTCTCTGCAGTCTCCTAGGATGAAAATATAATCCTACAAATCCTGAAGGAGGGTCATTATGAGTCAGAATCACTTGATGGCAATAATTGAATTGAGAAGGAATGTTGGGTCATATGAAGCACTTAGACTTCATCTAAAAGAGAAGGAAATAGAGTCTTTCAATGGTTTTAAATTACAAATACTTCATTAAAATAAAGTTATCCCTTTTTCCATTTGTAATAGTTTATGGTGAGCATGTGCTTTATGCTTGCCTCAGGAGAGGTTATACTTAGTAGTTTACCTTAGCTATATAATTAAGTTCAAGCCTTGTAAGTAGAAATGATACACACAATTTCTTAATGATCTACAATTTACAAGATAAACCTTTTCCTTCTAGTAGTGCTTTTTTCTCCTTGGAAAAGGGAATGTACAAATCTATAACCCAACTGTGTGAGGACGTCGCCTTAGGGTCTGACAGAAGTCAGATGGAGGTGGAAAGGATCTAGGATCCAGAATGACTCCATACAGCAGAGATGCCCTGTCAGGTAAGACCAGCCAGAGTACATATTCTTAAAGATGGCTAAGAATAGAGAGAGAAAGAAACATATTAAGAAATTCACAAAGATATCCTGATTATAGAAGACAACAGTTTCAAAGCAGTAATAACTGACTGAATGCCTACAGAGACCTGACTGGACTAAAGTGATAGTAGTTGTTCTTGTTAAGTGCCGTCGAGTCGTAGGTGACTCATAGTGACCCTATGAACGAAAGTCCTCAACACTTGTGTGACTTCCATCCTTTCTCCAGGTTCATAGGGTTTCAACTTTAAAGAATATTGTGACTGTGTTGGAAGTCTGGAGTTAGGAGTGAGTTCCAGGTTTCTGACGTGTACGCATCATGGGGCAATTACTGCACTAAGTAGCACAGCATGAAGTGTATCTCGTACAATAGTAGTTAAGCACGCATCTACAAACCTAAAAGGTCAGTGGTTTAAATCTATAAGATGTTCCAGAAGAAAGATGTGGCAGTCTGCTTCTATAAACATTGTAGCTCTGGAAATTCTGTGTAGCAATTCAGTTTTTTCTTACACACTCGTTTTCAGTTCAATTGGAACCAATTCCCCAGCAGCTAGTATGATTTTTTGGTATAGAACACAGGAAGAGAACCTCCTGAAGAAGAACCCTGAGACCAGCATGAAATAAAGAAATGTAGAACATTCAGTCTTTTAAGAGAGTATTGGGAGTTATTAGTAAATGAATGGAACTGACTACATGAGGCCAAAGAACACAAGGACAGAGCACTTAGTGCACAGGGCAAGTGTAGTGTGGAGCGTAGAGTATAGAATATATAGGCTCTATATAGGGTCCCATTTCATGTAAAACTCAGGACAATCAATATGAACTTCAATTACTGTGCAGTGATTTCCACAGGAAATATGGAGGAATAGTACTATGAAAAAAGAACTCAGGACAACAGATTTTGGACTTCTCATAATTTGTTAGCAGTTCTTTGTTAGTTTGCTTTTGGTGGATATTCCTTCCTGCTCAAGTGCAGGTGGCTGACCTCTTTAAGTTTATCCTTCCAATCAGTCACTGGTCTGAAAAACCTTTTAACAAAGTATGCTCAAACAGTGTGAGAACAAAAATATTTATCTCTGGAAAAGTACCTATAAGTGTCTTCTTGGATAAAATTTGTCAGTTTTATTGTATGAAAATTCTAGTTTTTATCTACTTGCCAGTAGTTCTTTTCATGTTCTTCTCAATCTATTGGTTTATCTGCTTAAGATTAAATAGCAGGGTAAGTTAAAATATCTTTAAAACACCAATTGTTAATAAAATTTAAATTCAGTTTGGGAATTAGATATTTTCTTATATGCACTTCAGTGTCATTAAATATTGTCTTTTTGTTTTTCAATGATTTGGAATTCTATTATCAACATTCAGTAAACCCCTATAAGCATATTTATCAGACCAAATTGTTCTCCAGTGTCAGCAACCCATGTAAACAATTTTTGCTGCTGTTAGGGCCAACTAGCAACCCTGCAAACAGAACATTAAAACCTTATTCTACCCTGTGCCATCCCCATCATCTCTTACACACTTGAGCTCATTGCTGCCATCACCATGTCAATCCATCTCATTGAGATTCTTCCTTTATTTCACTGAACCTCCATCTTTCCAAGCGTGCTGTCCCTTTCCAAGCAATAACTTCTCCTAACATCATGTCCAAAGTATGTGGGATGAAGCTTCACCATCCTTGTCTCTAAGAAGCACTCTGGCTATACTTTCTGTAAAATGTTGTTGTTGTTGTTTAGGTGCCGTCGAGTCTTAGACGACTCATGACGACCCTATGAGCAAAAGGCCTGAGCGCTGTTCATGAAGTTTCCGGAGGCAAGCCATTTCAGAAGTGGATGCCACTCCTGCTTCCAGGCTTCTGTAAACTATCTGCATTCATTCCTTTTGCAGTCCATGGGATAGTTAGTACTCTTTTTTAACACAACAGTTCAAAGGCATCAATTCTTCTGTCATCCTTATTTACTGTTGAGCTCTGAAATGCATAGTAAGTGACTGAAAAGGCCATGACCTGAATTAGGTTCTCCTTGATTTTAAACTGCTATCATTGCTCTTCAGTACTTTGGAGAGATCCCTGTTATGTAAAGTACGTTATGTTGTTATGTACTGTCAAGTCAGAAATAACCCATAGCTGAACCTCTAGTGGGTTTTCAGATGTAGTAAATCACATAGAGGAGACTGCCCGTCTTTCTCCCACAGAGCAGCTGGTGGATTCACATTGGTGCCTTCAGGCTGGCCAGAATTCCCTACGTAAACAATAATAATCTCTAATATTTTTAGGATGAAGAGTCAGAGAAAGAGAAGACCCTTAACAAGATGGATTGACACATAACTATAAAAATGGGCTTGAGCCTGTTGGAGATTATAGCATAGGATAACATAGTAGAGAGAACAGTTTGAATTCATTGTTCATAGGGTTGCTGAGAGGTGTAGTTGATTCAATAGCATATAACAAAAACAGCAATATTCTGGTTTTTGATCCAACTATTCTGAGCAAATAATAAAGAGTACATTCAAAATTTTTTCTAAATATATTAATTTATAAGAAAGTTCACTTGAACAATTTGCACCAGGCTTCCACTAATTTTGCTTAAGTCACAATTTGTGATCACCATCTGATCCTGTCTACTACAAATGATCCTTTTTTTTTAAATCTTGGTTCAACATTTTCATTCACATATTTGCAAATCCAAATGAGAAACTTACATGTTTAAATTTGGAATCCAGCAGAGCCATGCTGGACCCAGATCTACAGGTGAGGTGTCTCAGTATTTGTTTGCTGGCTTCAGATTTTCCAGATCCTCTCTCACCACTAAAAGGAAACAAATGGGAAAAAATGATTACTGGGTTGGAAAAAAAGAATAAAATAGGAAATTAGCAGATAATAAGTTAATGCTATGATTTCACTCTTAAATTCATCCACTCAAAACAAAACAAACTAGCAAGCATATGCTACATCTTGTGCCAGCCGCAGATTTAGATGTTAGGATTACAAATAGTGTAAGATGCTTTCTACCATAAAATATCTCATGCTGTAGAACTTAAAAATGTGGTGAATCATAACAGAACATTCTTGAGCTGAAAAGAAAGAAAATAACTTGCCCTCAGTTTTTTGGTTTTTTTTAAAAAAAAACAAGTAAATAAGGTGAACCAGAAAATCCTGATATACTGAAGTGTCTGGGTCTTGACAGTAGTATGCACTTGGAAATTGGGAAATTTGTTAAAAGCTCGTAGCTTTTCTTTTCTCATTTTCAAAATGGGCTTAATGCATGTCATTGTTGCTAGGTGCCGTCTAGTTGAGTACAACTCAGTGACCCAGTGACAGCAGATTTGAACACCGTCCTATGCTGTGCCAGCCTCACAATCTCTGACACACGGCTGTGATCACTGTGTCAGTCCACTTGGTGGAGGGTCTTTCTCCCCTTCTCTACCTTTCTGATCATTTAAGTGGATATAGGTACTAAATTTTATTCCATTCTGTTGTCAGATATGACCAAGCATTTAGTTGATACCAAACATAGATCAAGCTGTCTTTTTAAAAACAAACAAAAAAAAGTAAATAAAAATCCCCACAGCAATTGAGCCCAGCTCAGAACAACTATCAATTAAATTTCCAAGATTGTGTAGATTTTTAATGGAAAAGGTTGACCATCTTTCTCCCACGGAGTGGTTGCTGAGTTTGAACCAATGACTTTTTGGTTACCACCCTTACTAGTTTCAAATTATGCTACTAGGAACTTCTTTATTGGTTACTTTAAATTGGTAGGAAGCTGCACTGCAATCCTGAAGGTACATGGTTTGAATCCACAAGCTGCTCCACAGGAGAAGAATGAGCAATCTCTTCCCATGTGATTAAATGACTATTAAGACCCACTAGAGGGTCAGCTATGGATCAGTTCTGACTTGACAACATACAACAACATCATGATTTGCATTTTTCTTTAAGTTAGGAACAAGTGTTAACTGAAGTTGTTATCTGTAACCACTTTTAATATATCTCAGAATATTTTATTCACTTTACTGATTTCTATAAATAAAAATTTATATACCTGGCACTATAGTTCACATCATAATATTAAATTAAATTATTAACATGAGGATTTATAACATATAAAAGTATATTTGGTAGAGGAAACACAATAGGTATACATATTATTGTTGTTGTTGTTGTTATGTACCGTCAAGTCGTTTGCAACTCATAGCGACCCTACGCACAACAGCCCTAAACCCTGCTCTGTCCTGCGCCAACCGCACCGCCTCTGACACACCCATCCCGATTACCCCAGTCACCGAATCAATCCATCTCATAGAGGGTCTTCCCCTCCTGCGCTGTCCCTCCAGCCTCCCAAGCATGATGTCCCTCTCCAAGGACCCGTCCCTCCTGGCAACATGTCCAAAGTATGTCAGACGAAGCCCCAGAATCCTTGCCTCCAAGGAGTAGCTTGGTTTAATCCTCTCCAAGATGAATCTCTTTGTTTTCCTGGCAATCCATGGTACATTCAGTACTCTTCTCCAGCACCACAGTTCAAAGGCATCAACTCTCCTTCTGTCCTCCCTAGTCATTGTCCAACTCTCTGATGCATAACAAGCGATTGCAAAGACCATGGCCTGTATCAGGCGCACCTTAGTCTCCAGAGAGACACCGTTGCTCCTGAGTACTTTAGAGAGGTCCCTAACAGCAGACTTTCCCATCGCAATAGTCTTTTTTATTTCCTGACTGCTGGTGCCAAGAGTGTTGACTGTGGAGCCGAGCAAACTGAAGCTGTGAACAATCTCAATCTCTTCGCCATCCATCCTGACACTGCCAATTGGTCCAGTGGTGAGAATCTTTGTCTTCTTGACATTGGGCCTCATTCCATACTGAAGGCTGCAGTCCTTGACCCTCCGCAGCAAGTGCATGAGGTCCTCCTCAGTTTCAGCGAGCAGGGTTGTATCAACTGCATAACGCAGACTGTTAATAGATCTTCCACCAGTCCAGATGCCACAATTCTCCTCATAGAGCCTAGCCTCTTGGATAATCTGCTCTGCATCCATGTTGAAAAGGTATGGAGACAGGATGCATCCCTGGCGTACACCCTTCCCAATTTTGAACCATGCAGTGTTACCCTGCTCTGTTCTGACTACTGCCTCTTGGTCCAAGTACAGGTTTCACATTAACACAATTAAATGTTCTGGGATTCCCATTCTTCTCAGAGTCAGCCACAGTTTGTTATGATCCACACAGTCAGATGCCTTTGCATAATCAATGAAACACAGACATTCTTCTGGTATTCTCTGCTTTCAGCCAAGATCCATCTAACATCAGCAACAATATCCCTAGTACCATGACCGCTTCTAAACCCAGCCTGGACTTCCGGCAGTTCTCTGCTGATGTGCTGTTCTAATCGTTTTTGGATAATCTTCAGTAGAATCTTGCTTGCATGTGAAATCAATGACACTGTTCTGTAGTTTCCACACTCAGTTGGGTCACCCTTCTTTGGAATGGTATGCATATAGAAAGATAAATAAAGCCCTCTTATTAGTATTTCTTTAGGCTTTTGCCTTTAGAACAATTGTTCTGCTTCTTAAATGACTTAATTAAAGATGTATATTTAAGATAGACAATCTCTTCTATGTGATTTATTGTCTCTGAAAATTTGCTGGAGGGTCAGCTCTGGGTTGGTTTACACTTGACAGCAAATAATAAAATCCAATTATTATTTAATAAAACAATTATTTTTGAGGGAGCGCTGGTGGCTTAGTGGAAAGTAGTAGTTTCACTGCCAACCCAAATTGATTCAAACCCACATGGTTTGAATCTATGACAGCTCCATTGGAGAAAGAAGAGCAATCAACTCCGATGGGATTTACTGCCTCTGAAAACTTGCTAGGAGGTCAGCTAAGAGTCGGTTCTGACTGGAAGGTAGATAACAACAATAATCATCATTTTAGAGAGCTCTTGTGGCCTAGTGGGGAAAGAGTAGCACTGCCAACCAAAGGCTAGCAGTTGGAATTGGCCAGATGTTTCATTGAGAACAATGGGCAAGTTCCTATTTTAATTCAAGAATACCACAGGACTTTTTAAACAATTTGCTTCCTGGCTCTTTGAAACAAGAACATGGTTGATTGCAATCCATCAATCTCACATTCCATAATATTTATTACTGAATTAATAAGATAAAGATAGGTACAAAAGTACTTAAATATTTAAATAAGTCTGTGAATTTTTCCCCTCTAGATTTCCATCTTTGTACCAATATAATTTTATTCAATTTGAGGCATGAGCTACTTTATTGATATTTTATTTTCAACTGAAACTACAGGTAATAACTAAAAAAACCTCGATGGCACATAACAACAACAACAATAACAAGGATTTACAGAAGTTTCCTTGCGTAGAGTTTCTACTAACACAAACCATAAGGGCCTGGAGCAAATCTTACTTCAATATTTAAACAGAGGCATGACTCTCCTTATCTGGTTTCCTAGTGGTGAGGAGTTTCACTATCAATTCAAAGGTATGAGGTTCAATCTACCACCTACTCTAAAGGAGAAATAGGTGCAATCTCTTCTGGTGTGATTCAAAGCATCTGTAAATGCTCTTGAGTGTCAGTTATGAGTTGGTTGTGACTCAGTGACAGTTAAAACAATAACAAGTATACATTGTATGTAGATCATAACATTGTTTTTAAAATAGCTTTAATAAAGTGATAAACATGATCTTTAATAAACAGGATCTTTTATTTTGTTGTTGTTTCCAAGAACACATAATATATTATGTTTATGCTATATCCTAGTATACAAAGCAAAAGAATAAACAAATATGTCTTTAAGAAAGTGCAGCCATAATGCTCTTTGGAGTCAAGGATGGAGAAGCTTTATTTCACATCTTTGTAAAAAGATATTGTGCTTGGAAAAAAGAGAGGAAGACCTTCAACATGATGGAATGATGCATTAGCTGCAGCAATTCGCGAAACAGGTCAGAGATGATGAAGATGGCATAAGATAGGACAGGGCTCGGACTGTTGTTTACAAGGATGTTATAAGTTGTACTCAACTTGGTGGCACTAAACAAAACCAAAACCAATATGGTAAATAGGCATTGCTGCTGTTGTGTACTGTAGACAATGGCATTTTTGAAAATTTTGAAATATCATTATCAAAATATGACATTGAGACCTAAAAATTGAGCAAATACTGTTGAAAAAATCCTCAAAGTCAAACTACCATGAACAGAATACTTGATGGAAAGTTGTCATCAGTCTTCAATTTTTTAAAAAAATAATCAAGCAATATGCAATAAAACAAGGAATTCTTATATTGTACCTAAAATCAAGTCTCTCATTACATACTGTAGCAATATTTCAAATTTTTGTACCAGCTGGTTGGTTTGTTGCTTTTTTTAAAAAAAGCTTAAAAAATTCATTCTTTGAAGATAAATATTCTCATTAGGATTTTGATAATTATGTCCTAAAATTACAACTAGTTTTTATGTAAAGATACATTTGGGGACATACTTTTGGTAAATTATGAGCAAAGATAGAAAAAAGCTAGAAGTACTCCCCAGAGTATTGAAATGAAACAATGTCTGTCTAGCGATTAAGGTGTGCCTATTCCAGCCCATGGTCTTTGCAATTACTTGCTACGCATCAGAGAGTTGGGCAAAGACAAAGGATGACAGAAGAATTGATGCCTTTAATTTGTGGTGCTGGAGAAGAGTCTTGAACATACCATGGACCACCAAGAAAACAAGTAGGTCTGTCTAAGAGACAGTGGAAACAAGTTTCTCCTTGGAGGGTAGAATTTTGAATCTCTGTCTCACATACTTGGGGCACATGGCCAGGAGGGACCAATCTATAGAGAAGGGCCTCAAGCTCAGAAGGGTGAAGGGATGGTGCAGCAGAGGAGGACCCCAGATGAGACGGATTGATACAGTAACTGGGGTAATGGCGGTTGGTGTGTTGGAATCAGTGAGCTGGCTCCCAGGGATGTTGCACATAGGGTCACTATGGGTCGCAAGTGACTCAATAGCACATAACAACAACGACACCACAAGTGAAATACATTTGCAAAGTAAACAAAATAATGTATTTGGTAGAACTGACTTCTGGAGAAATTTTTCATTGGTTTATTAATCATAGAATATTTTTCTTTCCTGAAGTTGTTTTTAGTGGATCATAAAAATGTTCTGGTTCAAAGGTTTAAGACTTCAAAATAAAATAAAGTTCAGGTTAAGTGTGTTGATACTGATTCAACTACACTTGGGAGTATTTCTATGAAAAAGGATAATTTGCTTTGTGTAACTACTCAAATGTGCTTCTTGTAAGATAGGCTGAACATCAAACTGCTGAGAAAGAGAACATCAAACAATCAGAAAGGGGAACACTTTTTCTGTCAACTGTTGAGGACAAATTTAGCATCAGAAATGAAGGATCTGAGTGGTATTCTACCTGAGGATGAAGCACTGAGGTCGCTGCTCCTGGAAAAGCTGGTGGAAGGCTCTCTCAGCACAGGAGAATATGTGAGGGGGCAGAGAGGAGCACAGTCTCCCTGTGCTGCTAAAGTAAAGCTGGGACACCTGAAAAACAGTGCAGAAAAGAGAAATACTGCCTTGTGAAAAGAACTCAGTAGAGCCACATCCCACAACACAATGGACTTGTTCCCAATGCACCAAAGGATATAAATCCCTAACTTTGAATGCCATTTGCATTTATAAGCTTTTGTAAAATCACAGCTTTCTCAGCACATTTTAAGCCTTCTTTATGACTAAGCAGAGCCTTATCTTTCACCTTTAATTACTGGGTTCACAGGTTTCAAAAGATGTTGCTGTCTTTTTTCTTTTTCTTTTATTTTAAAGAACATTCCACAAAGATCCAGTTTAGTAGATAGCCACTAAGTACATGAAAATAGATCAAATATAACTTCTCCTGGTAACATGCAATGTCAACAACATAGAATGGTATAGACGTCTAATTTGGATGTGGTATGGCCTATAGAACTGTATGTATATATGTGAATTTACAAATTTTTCATAAAGATAAAAATTCTATTAATTTAGTTGCCATGAAAGTGTCACTTGTTAAAATTACTGTGACTTATTAAAATTACTAAGAATATAATGAACTAGTTATTTAGAGATAGCGGCTTTGTTTCTTTTGAGATTGTAGTATAATTAATTACTTTAGATTAACAACTAAATGACAAGAAGGCTTCCAGTGGACAAACTTGATTTTTTCTTTACAAAGTAACTGCTCTGTATCTTCAAAGAGAGGGAGCTCTGGTGCTCTGGTGATGAAGAATTGCACTGCAAACTCAAAAGTATGTGGTTCTAATCCACCAGCTGCTCTGAGAGTGTGAAGTTTGTCTTTTTTTTTTTAAATTAATTTAGTCTTATGAAGTTACTATTGTACCAAACTGTATTTCATTATGTTGTGTTTGGGATTATCTTAAGTTAGGACCCACATCTACCTCAGCTAACAATAGTCATCAAGTGTGTCAAAGTTGTTAGAGTGAAGAAAAAAGTGAGACATTCTCTGCATTGCAGGAGCCACAAGAGACATGAAGGAGACCCAACAGTGGGCTGTCAACTCATAAATCAGTGATTCTAATTCAATAATTGCTCCCAGGAGAAAGACTGACAGTCCCCTCAATCCAGAGCTCCCATAAGTCAGAATCAACTTGAGGGCCAGGGTAAAGACATATGATAATTCAATGCAACTGTTATGTTTGGTTGGATCTTCTTCTATATGGATAATATTGGGTCAACTGGAACAACTTGTATAAAGTCTTGGATACTAATGTTGATTTCTTCATTTTAACATTTGTAATAAATATACAATGAGAGTCCTCAGGTTAATGAAATACCAAGTCAGTGATTTATGTTATAATGATTATGGTGAGAGGCTCTTTATACTGTTTATGTGCCTATTTTCCATAAATTTGAAATTATAAAAATTTTAAAACTATTAAGAAGTAAAAAAATTATCTACAACTACAAGTAACAATTGGATGAATCTTACAAACATAATGTTGATTAGAATTTATGAGATACATCACAGAAGGCATTATTCTGTTTATAATTATTTATATAATGCAAAAAAAATAGATAAACCTAATCTATGCTCTTCAAAGTCAAACAAGTATATTGGGCAAGGGGTTAGTAATTGGAAGTGAGCTAGATAGGGCTTTTGGAACACAGCTAATATTCTAGATCTAGGTGGTAGTGAAATTCAATCTTCTGCACATTCATAAAACACATCTTTCTATATGCATTATGCCTCAATAAGAAATTGAATATGTCAAAGTCATTGAAAGTGTGTTAATGCAGAGATTGGAATAAAAATATGTGTATATCTCTGAAACAGACTATAGAACTCAACTCAAACCCTCATATAGGTAGAGTTTTGAGTAAAATACAGATGCAGTATCACTTACCAGTAGAAAAGACTGATGCTGGTATACTTTATCATTTACATGTAAAAGAAATAAATACTGATCTTTAGCTTAGACTATATATACAAATGAATAATAGATTAATTTAACATCCATGTATGAACAGTAAATTTTCAAACACATGCAAAATATGAAGAGCAAAACTTTGAAAATAATGGGTTAAATAAGAAAATAATATAAAAAATACAAAATATCATAGGAAAATAGGTAAAATCCATTACATTCAAAATAACAACTCTTGATCAGTAATCAACACCATAAATATAATTTTTTTTTAAAAAACTAAGAGAATAAGTTGTGCATATAACCAAGATGATAGCACCTACAGATCAATAATATACATATAATAGAAAAATGGAAAAATACATTAAGCTGAAAAGAATGATGAACAAATACAAGATACAAAGAGTGATAATCAGAAAAAAATTTATTTTAAGTATATATAATACACATTATTAAAATATAGTGTACATGTTCTATACATGTATAACTAACTTTGTATATGTTGCTATGGTGTACCATCAAGTTGAACCAACCCATAAAAGACCTGATCCTTTAGCAGATTTTCAAAGGCAGTAAATTACAGGAGAGGAGAAGGTTTATGTTCTTCCTCTGAAACAGCTGGTAGATTGAAATTGCATTGCTATTGAAATTCCTTTTTTTTTAAGCCACCAGAGCTCCCTATAATATTTACATAATATATATGTTGTGGAATCAGTTCTTGGAAAGGGATGTCATGCTTGGGAGGGTGGAGGGACAGCACAGGAGAGGAAGACCCTCAATGAGATGGATTGATTCAGTGACTCCGGTAATGGGGATAGGCATGTTGGAGACAATAAGATTGGCAAAGCATAGAGCAGGGTTTAGGGCTCTTATACAGAGGGTCACTATGAGTTTCAGGCAACTCGATGGCACATAACAACAACAATATATATAGAGAGAGAGCGAGAAGTAGGGGAAGAGGGGGGAGAGGGGAGAAAGAGGGGGAGATGGAGGTGGAGAGTGAGAGAGAGAAAGGGAGTGGGGGGGGAGGGAGAGGGAAAGGGAAAGGGAGAGGGAGGAAAAAGGAAGGAGAGAAGAGGCGGAGAGGGGGAGGGAGGGGAACAAGGAGGGGGAGGGGGAGAGAGAGAAGGTGCAGGCTCTAATGGCATAGTGGCAAGAGGCTGTGTTGCAATTGCAAAGGCATGTGGTTCAAGGCCACCAGTTGCTCTGTGGGAGAAGGATAAGCAATCATCTTTTGTGCAATTAATGGTCTCTGAAAACTCACTGGAGGATCAACTATAGGTCAGTTCCAACTCAATTGTACACAATGACAACAGCACACTATCATATAATCACACACTACAATCATACAATTATAAAGCACATATGTCATTTTGAGGTCTAAGTTTTAGTAGATCAAAGCCATGGTATTTTCTATCACTTCTTATAGAGGCAAACACTGGCTAATAAATGAAGATCAATGAAGAATTGATAATTTTGAATTATAATACTGTTAGAGAATTCTAAATTTATTATGGGCTCCTAAAAGAATGAACAATTATGTATTGGAAATAGATAGTAAAATGTTCCTTGAAAGCAAGAATTGGGGGAAAAATCAAGAACAGAAATATTTCATTTATGAGAAGGGTCAAATTCCTCTAAAAACGAATTCTATTTGGTAAAGGAAAATGTTTTTAATAAAGAGTAAGATATTCAGCAAGGTGGATTGACAAAGTAGCTGCAGCAAGGGGCTGGAACAGAGCCATGATTGTGAGGATGATCTGGGCAATGTTTCTATGCCACAAAAAACAATGCAAACAAAGCACTGAAAATCTAATGTAAAGTTCTTTAAAAATTAGTATAACAACAACTTATGTGTGTAAAGTGTTCTTCTCAGCAGTTTATATAAATGCATCCATTCAGACCTTCTAAGACACCTGTAACTTGGGTGCTAAAAATATCTTCATTTTACAGCTGCAAAGAGTGCTTGCTGAGTTACTCCAGGTCAAACAGCTAATAAGTGGTGAAGGTCAATTTTAAAACAAAGGGCTGGCAGTAAAAATCTGATAAAGTCAAGAGTTGTCATGCATATTGGCAATGGAAATATCTTGTTTACAATGTGATGTGTAAGTTCAACTTAGAGCTCTGGTCTACCAAAATTGCAAATAT